ATGGTTGGGTCACGTGTGGTTCTGCTTGTTTCGTCGGGTTGCACTTCAAATCACAACTCGCTCGGAATTCTCTACTCACTCCATTCGCTCATGCACTGCGCGATGTACTTGCCTGCTGCATTTAATTAGCTCATCTGGTACACTAAGAGTAGCGCGATTATCGCTACCAAGTGTACTCTCACTGTAATGCCGCAACTGCGGGATTACCATCCATTCACTGTCCACGTTTAGTTTTGCTGTGGCGTTTCGGACCCTCATCAATTTGCGTGTTTCACTGCACTTATTTAACTGGTCTCCTAAATGGCTTACTCGTCTGCTCAAATGTCAATTTAATTGGCGCTTAAAAAATTAACTTTTTTAGGCCCTGTATCGTTTTCCAGGTCAACACGAGCTTTGTGGAAGTCGCGTTCTCTTCCACACTGCCGGGTTTGGCATTTGTCCAGGTTTCCTTTAAAATGGACGAACAAGCTCTGCACCTCCATAGTTGATACCATAGTTAATGCTAACCAATAAAGCTACCATTGGACACAACGACAATATTTATTGGATATGTAAGTAACTCAGCCCGCAATAAGGATAATACTTATAGGAATATTTCTCAGCCTGTAAGCAACTGTATCCCTGCTTCGCAAAGGTCGTTTCCTACACACGGGATCGTGCTCTTGTATAGGTACTATTTGTATAACAGCTATTTTTGTTTATGCTTGTTACCAGCGCATCATAGGATTCGCTAGACTTTCTTTTGACGATAGCCATGATTTAGGACTCAAAGCTGGAAATGTGGGTATTTTCCGCGTGCCCTACGTGTTCAGCATGCCGACTTAGCGTTCGTTGTGATACAGTTGACATGGATTGCTTTGTACAGATGTGGTCTTGCTCTTGTTCTGTGATTCTTGTTTGAGCGGTTGTATTTTGTCTAAGCGCGTCGCCGGCAGTACGGGGCTACAGTTGCATGAAGTATCGTGATGTAAAAGGTTGATGTTGGAACTGTGGATATTATGTGTGTTCTTCGTGCTTGTGTGACGAGAAACTAATTATGGACCGCTGGCTACTCGCAATTCTGTTTATCGACACCTCAAGATTGCCGGTGGCACAAGTCTCTTTTGTAGACCGAGAAGTGGTCAGCAATGAAGCCCGCGCTGGAAAGCTATCAACGATAACCACTGATGAAAACGTTACGCGTGTGGCTGATCTGTTAAACTTTGATCGTCGTTTGGGTGTTCGTTTAAAGGCATAGACATTAAACATTCCAAATACTACCTTTCACTATCTTGTGACGAACAATCTTCAGATGAGAAAACTGTTCGCGACGCTGGTGCCCAAAGTGTTGACGAACAACCAAAAACCGCGCCGAGTTAAAACTTCCAGAGACTTTGGAATTTGTGTGAAAGTGACGTCTACTTTTTAGACAATGTCATCACAAGTGGTGAGTTTTGGGTCTTTGAGTACTACCCCGAAACAAAATGGCAAACTGCCGATTGTCACACCACGTCCCATCGCCCCAGGGAAGCCAGATTGAGCAACTCAAAGATCAAGACTAACCTCCTTTTGTTTTTGACATCAGGGGGCTCGTCCACCAGGATTTTGTACCACCAAGTATTGCCTCCGACACTTAATTCCACGTGGAAGTGCCCAATCGACCGAAACGAAGGGTTCATCACATTCCTTCCGCCATCGCGGACGATTGGAGACTTTACCATAACAACACGCCGGCCCACATGCTGTCCCGCTTCATGGCCGATTCTAAGGTGCCAACGGCTTCCCAGCTACCCTACAGTCCTGACTTGTCTCCTCCAGATTTCTTGTTCTTCCGCTTGAAAATTCCTATGAAAGGACATCATTTCGGGACAGTTGACATAGTCAAGGAGGCTTGAACCAAGGCTCTAAAGGACATGTAAGAAAAGGCCTACAGTGACACCTTCGATGCCTGGAAATCACACTAGAAACGATGTATCGACTCAGGTGGAGCCTATGTTGCAAGCTTTAACGGGTTGTACCGATCGGATCTATCGATACTTTTTTCATATTCACTGACAGTACTTTTCATGCAAATCATATACTCACTTCAAGTTTTGCCCACCAACAGCTAGGGGCGCTTAAATTATGTGAATATTTTCAATCTTTCTCCCAACTTTTCACTCGTTCAACTTTCCTTTTATGTCTTCTTCATAACCGCGCTCAGGTCAGAGTAGCTTTCAAGTTTTTAAGCAATGCGGTCACACTCGCATTTGACTGGATTTTGATTGGCCTCCTATTCTACCGGATGGTGCATCCGACTGGGAAAAACTTGGAATGTATTATTTGTCCCAGATTCTGGTTACATCATGTTTAAACCATTGTTACGAAATCATGTAGAAAATTATTCTGCAACTCTGTTGTAGTCAAATCAAAGCGTCTTTTGGTGTTTAGATTGTAAAGGATCGACAACCTGTGCTTCAATCATTCTATCTAACTGTGTTTTTGGCACCGCGTTTTGTGAACATTCTAGATTTTCTGCAGCTTTTCTCCCACCACCCATGTACGATCATAACAAACCCACCTCTAACTCCATAGTACTTCACCATTTTATTCACTGCTTACGAGGCGCTCGGTCGAAGGCTTTTTGCATATATGTAGCTCATTAACAGGAGTTGATTGATCTTGACACACAGTTCAACTAAAGCAATTGACAAGCTGTCCTAGATCGCTTATCGAGACTGCCATGCTGTAAGTTTTTTTCCAGTCTCGATAGACTTTCGAAATTCATCTGCCATTGCATCTAGTGAGAGTGTTAAGGGAGTTTGGGAATTTTAACGCGATTCATCACCGTTGCGATAAACCGCTAGTCAGTCGTCCCTTATTTTCTTGTTCCATCTTCGGTGCACATTTTCATATTTCGTTGATTTGAGTCTTCGATCCATCACCCACAAATCGGTGCCCTGTGATGCCAGACTCTTCCCACTGTTTCAGTCCAATGGTCCTAACCGCGGACTCGAGTTGCAGATTCTACTACCACATAGGGTAGATGAAATACGCACTGCTGACGATTACCAGGACTGTGAAACAACTGTGCACTACTTTTCCGGATTTACACCAGTTGGGCCGGTTCTCCTTCGAAAATCAATCAAGCTCTATTTTTTCACCACTCTCTAAGAATAAAGATAAGCATGCAGTGCTTAAATGGGATAGATCATGTTTAATGGCCAATACAATCTTAGTTGAAAATATAGTTCACATATAAAATGAACAATGCATTAGCTTCCCTGAGCTTCCTTTTGGGTGTGTACCGTACTGGATAATTGCAGTAGGCTTTCAGAGCAATTTTGGGATAAACACATCCTTTCCTCGATGTGTTCGACGCTTGAGGTCAGGAGTTCACGCTTCGATGCTCAGTTGAAGTTGTTGCATAAGATGAGGGAGAGAAATTAGAGTTAAAGGAGTATGTTTGTGGTGCAATAAAACTACCGTAAAAGTACGTATTTCGGCCTATGCTTAATTCAGGCTCCTGTACTTGCAAATGACGTAGAGAAGACGTTAACTACTACTGTGCCAAGATCTTGATCCATTCACATTTTTCTTGGGAACACCAAGTTGACTAAATGATTAAAGCTGAGCGAAATGATTGTCATCTAGAAGGAAACTACAATTTCATACGTTCAGCGTAATTAAAGCATTTGTTTTATTATGAATGAACGCACCGTTAAGACAACTTCAGGGAGTGGCAAACTGTGATGCAGTGTGGAGACGTTTTGAGACCGATGGAGTAGAGACAGGACATCGGACTTAACATTGTTGGTGCGCGTAGGCCCCATTTATACCTCTTTAGTTACTGAGTTCATTACACTGATGAGGAGGAGTAGACACAGTTGGCCAGGAAAGGGTGAAAAGTACTGTTCAATTTCCCAACCTGCCAATATGCGCATTTTACATAGGTACGTGGTAGGCTGTCGCTGTGACTGAAACTTACTAGAAGTAGGACCGTCAGTGCATGCATCTCCCAACTCGGACATCATTATTTAATGCATGGGGTAAAAATTGATAAGGGAGGAATGAAGTAATATCGAAGCGGAGTCCCGTCTACGTAAGTGTCCATCTTTTCAATACCTCATGGCAGTTCTTCGTTCTGCGTAGTCCAAGGGAGAGGCAGCACCACGACTTTCAGCACTATCGTTGTTCGCTGTTTTGATAAACGTATGGTCAACTGTCCGTTCCTTTAAAAGTTAGCATGGGGAAGGAAGGAAATTGTGGCCAAGAATTGAATTGGGATGTAAGTGAAACTGGTGTTGGGAGGCTGATGATCGCGTACCCGCGCTAACTTCCACCGAGTACCGGGACCTTTTTCAGATGGGCTAATGGGTTTATATGTTCACAGCATCCCCTTGCTTGATCCTCATCTCTTTGCGTTGCGATGAAAGCTATCTGTTTCTGATTTCCGATGATAATGGAATCCATAATTATGCATACTTAATTGTATAGGAATTTGTGCGGAGTTCGCTACGATCCTTCGGTGATCACCGTACCCGCTCATTGTTTGTATCGCCCAATACATAGCAGCCTAAAACTGAAACCCAATCTGGGCTTTAAAACTCAAACAGCAGATCGGACGATGAAACGAACTCAAGCTGAACTGTAGTTAGGTTACTGTGACCTTCAGATGGCACTTAAGTGTAGATTAACATCCATATGCATGCTTTTATGGAAGTAGTCATTTCGACGAAAACGGACAACCTGACTCGACTGCCTTTATGGATCACTGTATGCTACCTTTTTGCTGTTTGCGTCCTTCCTAAGTGGTGTACTGGATTGTGTCGGCTCTGTTCGCGCTTATCACTGTGTTATCAGCTTTCCCTGATACAATCTGCAATGGAATTTATTCCGCGCTTACCTTTGAAACCATTAAGGTGATTTGTCACTTTTGCATCGCAATTTGTTTACTACTTTATTGCCGATTCAGTAAATGGCTTCCGTTTTCTCCAACGTCACTTTATTACCCTTTACTTTATTTCCCTCTATGCTTTTAGGAAAGAGGACAGTGGCATTCGCACTATGCCTCAGACCAAGGTAAGACTAATCGACGGATCATTTTCCTGCTAGTTTTACCCAACTTTACACCCCGTCGGCTGGCTAATGCGTCATTTACTGGGACGATTCGTCCACCAAAGTTCTCCTAACTCTTACGGGACCGGTTTGATGGCATTTTATTTACCGTGTCGAATTTTATTACAATTTTGTGTATTCGAGCTATCGCCACGCGCTCAGCAACCCAACGATCGGCGTCTGTTCCTTTGGGCCATCATCGCAGACCACATTCCTCCAATACATTAATAATCCTTATCTGAGATCTCCATGGTGGGCGACGGTCCTTGAAACTTCTACGTCACTATGGACGCTCTTTCGAGCTGCCAACTGTTATGTAGCGTTCATTGTTTCCTTTCACGTCCTTAAATTCCTGGTTTCCTAGTGTTGTAGAGAGCAGAAGCGAAAATGCCCGTGTCAGCTCCTACCGAGGTTACTTGTAATTTACACCACTCTCGGTAGTCAGCAGCAACTGCGCTGGAAATTTACCTAACACACTGGGATGCAAACACGATTATTCAGTTAGGTTTTATAACGACGTATGCCAACCATCCTCGCCACTATCCTCCGCGCCTCACAGTGTGCTCCCCTAGTAGCACATTTCCTGCTTGTTCCCATGTTAGCGACCCAACCGTTTTGAGGAATGGATGTTGCTGAGGTGGAACTAACTAACCCTTCCCCAAGTGACGGAGGAAATACACTTGTGTACATTTTGCCGATCAGAATCGAATGGGTTGATCAATGAAACGGACACCTGACTAAATTCGTGCTACCGCATCCAGGCTTCGCATCCTAATATCATTCACCCCTACTGTCCCTCCTAGATGGCTACATACCTGTTCGCCGTGGATTTTAACCTACGAAGCTCAATATGCTAGTCGGTTTAGTTGATCCACCTAGAAGTCAATACTAACAGTCATCATCTGCTCCTCGAATGGACTGATGAGGAAAGTAACAGGAGACATACTGATTTATTCCAATGCCAAAACAAGGCATGCTCTATGCAACATCAACAGTGTACAAACTGAGAGTTATTCAAACTCGGTCCGCTTCGGTAGCTGTTCTCGGGGTCCGGGTACAGAACAAAACTGTAAGTAGCGGATGCTCCACAAGCATTGCGACAAAATGGCCTATAAACAAAATGGAATCTCGGCTAACCGGGTGTATGAACATTAGTTTACTGAATGTGATTATTAAAGCATTTGCAATTGTTAAAATTAATTTTTTGACAATATTAAACTAAAGGATTAACGAACTTTTGATCTCGACGATACAAGACATGCTTGTTTCGGCATACTTTGGTCACAGATAGATCAGGAAAATTAAAATTCAGATCAGATAACTATTTTTGAAACTACAACAATGGTACAAAAAAGGAGTTGATTGAAATTAATTGATGTTGACCTGCCTCCATCCACTCTCGCACGTCGGTGACGAACCAGTGACTGGGTCAAATTAAACCTGGACTCTACCCGTTCGTACCCCGTGACCCGTTGAGCTGTGTTGGGTGGCACTTTCCAAGTGCCTTCAGGGCCACTTATACCAGACAGGTCAATGGTTAAGGTGCAGACTAACTCACTCTCACAATCCGATCCTCTTCGGAGGTTAGCGAGAAGTCGATGACCCTCTTCTTTTAAATCCTAGCCATAAGAGACAACAGGTCTCCGGGTTATAAGCTCACAGCTCGATTGGCGTAGAGCACGAGCGCCACGCATTCTCTGACGATGGAGGGCACCTTCCGGTGCTCAATGGTTTGCTACCGCCCGCCTCAAGCCAGACAGCCCATGGTCAAATCGGTGAAAACTCGCTAACTCCCACCTGCGGCTGGCCGTGGTCACAAATGTGTACCATACTACGGTGGTGAAACACGTGAATTGCTCCACATCTTCAAAGGCTGTGTGTGACTGAGCTGAAGCAAATCCCAATGGATCTCTGCAATCAAACTCCAGAGCTGGACTTTCTCCCTACTGCCTTGTGGGTCAGGCTATTGAGCCAAATGTTTCTGAAGTCCCTCTACTACGATTTCCGAGGCCGTGAAAGGGTCTACGGGAAACCCTCCTGTGTTTCACACGACAAGTGGAGTTTGCCAGGGTTGTCATATATCTCCTTTCCTCTTCACCTTTGTTATCAAAGTAATCATGAATGACTCAGTTCATTCAGGTTATTCTGGAGTGGAAGTCCTGCCAGGTAACGGACTGGCAAACCAGGAGTATGCGGACGACATAGTTCTCCTTGGGTCTGATGCACTGGCTATGCAAACACTGCTGCACAGACTTGTGCGTAGCGCTGCACGCTTCAGGATGTGCTTTGCGCCTTCAAAGTGCAAAGTTCCTCTGCAGAACTGGACCGATACACCTGTACTAGCTGTCACCGAATAGCCATTGGAAGTGGTGCATCGATTCGCTGACCATGGTAGCTGTGTCACCTGTAGTAGTCACATCACTGAGGAAGTTGATTCGCGTATTACTAATACCCGTGTGATTTTCCTTCGACTAACTATGGAGATGGCGGGATATCAACTCGTCAGTGAAAGGTAGGATGTATAACGCTGCGATAAGGCCAGTGTCGCTGTATGGATCGGAGACATGTCCATTTTCAATAAAGACGTTAACTACTTGGCCATGTTTGACCACCAGTGCTTGCGAAGTATTGCTCACCTTTGGTGGGAACACCAAGTGAGTAATGCTGAGGTCCACCGGTTAGTTTTTGACAAAAAGCCTTCTGCTCTCTCTCTCTCTTTCTCAGGTGTTTGCTAAATCTTAAACGCTTGCGTTGGATAGGCTATGTCCTCCGTATGCCCTTTGGTCGACTTCCTCGGCTTGTATTATACGCCGTGGCCGCACCAACTTGGGCGGAACCGCGAGGTGACCATTTCATGACGTAGCATAGAGGCTTGAAGAAATTGGCTGTGAGGCTTGGGCAGGCTGGTGCGTGTAGTCTTCCTGCATGGGGTCTCAGGATGGTCCAAACCAATGATTGGAGATCGTGTCAGGCATGGCGCAGTCACGATGTCAGTGGCATACCTGCATTCGGCTTCTTTCATTTGGTTGTTAGTTATTGTTTTATTCTGATTAGTCGGTCGCATTTCCTTCTCTCTTCCATTTTCTTTACATTCTATTTGCCTTTAGCCCCATTCTCCTGCCTTTGGTATTACTTGTTGTTATTACTATGTGAGTCGTGACAACTGCATCCACAGCACCTTGGTGCTCGGATCATAGTTGATCAACTGATCTGAACTGACCTGAGCTGTATTCTACCTGTACGCTTAGCTTGTAATGAAGCTATCGTATAGCTTGATCACTTTGCGCACGGTTTGGAACTTGTTGGTATTGTTGCGGCGTTCGTGCTAAAGAGTGCAGCCACATATTCCTGCCTATAGTTTGTTCCAGATTTTGCGTTTTTGTTATGTGAAGAGTTTGCGTACCTGCTGGTCCCAGACTTGTATTTTGTTACTAAGTTCCCTTTGCTGAAAACATCTGATTTCATTAATGTTATGCTGCGGTTGGAAACGTGTATCTATTTGTTGGTGATGTTAACAAATGTGTGCTTCCTGCACCGTAGCCAGGGCGGATCAATCTTGAGCTTATCACATCATTCATAATGGCTGTCGAACTGGTCGCTGAGCTTGGCAATTTTGTTTCAAACGTTTCGTCACCAATCGAGGTGATATCATCAATGCGTAGTTGAGTGGCATGCAATAGCGTGGAGGAGCCTCGGTGAGAGTGCCGAGGCACTGGTCTTCGCTTGTCCCCCAACTACACAGACGAAATCGCATGACTGGCGTCTTCTTTATCCCTGTCACCTGTTCGTCTTTTTCTTTATAGGACTCATCAGCTCCCAGTGGCTCATGATGCAGAGATCTGCTAAATGCCAGTAGAACAGAGTAGGGTGAGCTGTACCCAGTCGCATTTACTTACCCGTTGTGTAGTTCGCAAATCAAATCCAGTATTTTTTCCGCTAGTGCGACCACCAGTTTGTTTTTGGTCGCTTGATCACCTGCTGTTGTTATTACTCACATCAGAAAACAGTGACGTCATTCGATTACACCCTCCAATTTATATCCACCGTGTCCGAGATGGCACAGTTGTATCAAGCTCATTCTCGATGGGCAACTACGATGTCTACACTTTGGCAAATCGATTGTCGGATACATTTTTAATGCTAACGATGCCACTGGGGTCCTGACTTTTGTTCCACCCCTAGTTGTCGGATATGACCACTGTTTGCCTTCACCTTACTGCTATTCGCACTTAGATTTTTCACCGCAATCCAACCACTGAACAGGTACGAGGGTAAAACAATAAGTGTCCGGACGCACAAAAAGTTTTACCTTTTACAACGGAATAAGCATTATGCTTTTTTCTCGCAGTACCATCCACAAGCGTTCATACACAATTCCATTCTCTCAAACCATTTAGATCAACAACTTGATCATGCCGAAGCAGGTAACCCTTCAAACAGCTCAATAAAACCCCCGGCTGCAGCTTCTGGAGACTCGTAACGGATTCCACGATCATGCGCTTAAAATTTGGGAACACAGTAAACTCACACCGAGCCAGGTTTGGACTGTAGAGTGGGTAACCAACCACCTGAATTCGTTCTCCCGCCGGAAGATCTACGACAACATGGGACCTGTGTGCAGATGCGTTGTCATGGTGCAGTAAGATCTCTCGCGCTCCAGTCCTTGGACGACGCTTGGCTACATCTTCCAGCACTTGAGGTCGACAGTGGGCGGCATACCAGTTTCCGGTGACTGCGCGTTGCTGTACGAGCGGTACAGTAGCTGCATGACCGATCTTGACAACGAACACAGTCACTAACGGCCGTGCACTGAGTCGGTTATTGCTTGGTCTCTGTGTCGAAATTGAACACCCAGGTCCCATATCTACTGAGGATCTCCCAAACAGCACTGGAACCTCCACCATCATACCTGTCAAGCATGGTGCGGCACTAATTCACCCGAACTGCTTTTTGCTCCTCACTGA